TTTAAATTGTCAGTCTGTTTAACACTGTACATATCGGAAAGCCACGGTCATTGGATGTACTGATACTGACTGTATTAGGTACAGCTTTATACTTATAGTTATTCTGTTGAACACTATACACACCTGACAGCTACGGTTATTGTACTTTTATATAGATTTGCTTTGATAGTGTGTAGTTTTATAGTATATAATCTATTCAGATTGTTTTTTTCAAGACTGTTGATATTGGTTAGGGACCGGTCATTATTTATGGAAGGGGGAGGGGAATTTTTTCTTTTCTAAATTTTTAAAATTGAAAGCCCCCCCCCTAAATGGCAGAAATTTAATGATGCCCCCCCCTGCATATTAGAATATTTTTCTTTGACCCCCCCCCCATTTTCATTTTTACTTGTCAAATGGGGATACCCAGGCGTTATAGTATTAATTATTAAATAAGAATATGGAACTGGCAAGATATTAACGTCGACCAAAAATATATATTTATTAGCAGAAAATTATAATTAAAAGAGGAGTATTTTTATATATAACACTAAAATCAGGTTTCCATTTGGTCTGGGCGATTGTAACCATGTTTAAGGCTGCAACTAGACTTGATGGTACGAAGTATTGCCATAGCAGCTGCGCGGCAACAATGAAAGCAACAATCAGTAAAATTAGCAGCAAAAAGAGATAGCAATGACAATTCTGCCTAGGCATTCCTGCGAAATACAATGTATATACATTTATGTGAGATTAAAACTATTGGTAGTATTTAGATATGTAATTTATATTGTGACGAAGTTTATAAAATTAAAAAAATTTAAAAAAAAAATTAAAAATTAAAAATTATATAAAATAAAATGACATATACTAGCTACCAGATAAAATCTTTTAGAATGAACATGGGTGGGTGGGTGGGGAAAAGGTATCGAAGCGCAAAACTTGCTGCAGCTAGGCAAAGCATACAATGGCAGAATGGATACCCAGACCGAAGCACTGATCACAAGGCATGAAACAACCCCCTTTGATCGATATGACGTCACAGACTCCCCTCAGCGGATGCGGCCTGCATAATACATCCGCCGTTAACCTTGCTTAATTTAAATGTATTTAACCACATCAAGAGCTGATGTAATAATACATTGTCAATTTAACTAGTCTGCAATCCGTAAAGACTGATTTGCATACTGCATACAGCACACACAAGACAAGATGAATCCAGACTATATCACATCAGTGACCATGATTTAGTTGCAACATTTACAACCAAATGGATACCAGGTTATTAAGCAAATTCCTTCAAGTTTAATTGCAACACCCCCCATCATTTTCTTGAAAAAATTTAATAGCCTCCCCTTCTAGTCATTTATTTCTACATATGGCCCCCCTTATTTTTTCCCTCCCCCCCTTCCATAAATAATGACCGGTCCCTTATTGTTAAAATCGAGGATGTCGTTAAAATTAAACTGTTTAAACCTGTAAGATCTTCGGGAACATTTTATATTATGTCGTGTTTTACTAAATAATGTCCTTGCCCTTGCACGGTTCCCGTTTGTAAAAAACTGCTGTAAATCATATCCCCCTTTAATTAATTTGATCTCATCCGTGAGTCGGCCTCGAAGGCCTTTGATCTTTTACTTGATTTCGCATTTCAAATCCCAAGTTGTTTCTCGGTTGGTGAATTTATGCTTCTTTTAAGTAAATTATTATTTTGGGAAAGTAACAATTTACGACGTTTTTCTTAGCAACTGCATATGTACTTGTTTTAGTAAACTCTTTTGCTTGGTAAGACAAAATTTACTTGTTATCTTATTTCAAGCCATGTCTTTCTTGAAACAAGAAATTTTTTGTTGCTAAGAAATTTGGATTTTGCTGTGTGTTTGTATACACAAATCATGCATTGCTTTGAATTTCAAACTACTCGAGTCTTGTTTTATTATGGCCAGACTCTTTATTTATATGATGTTATTCATGTATTGCGAAGTACTTTAATCATTGACCGTTTGCTTGTTTAAATATTTGAGGTTTTTCAATAAGGGATGTGAGATTGTTTATATGAACTATGTTGAAACAAACACTCATTGTTTTTGCATCTTTATTTCAATCTATGTTATTACGACGTTTTACTTTTCGTCTGTTCTAAATCCTCTATATGTTGATTTTAACCAGTCTATTTTAACGTTTACCAATATTTTTAAAGTGATAAAGTCCTTAATCAGTTCCGTCATATTCCGTTTTGTCGTCCCTTTCTCGTGCAGTTCAATCATCATATGCAATATTTCACAATGTCGACATCTCGACATGCTTTGCGGCAACATTGGTTATAAATAGCACCGCCCTTGAGAGCAAGCCTGATGTAGAACAAAGCTTGTCTTTTGCTTCTTGACAGTTCGTATTTGGCCACGTTGTCGTTCATCAGTAGTTCTAAAATCAAATGCCAGAAAATTGCATGAATTGCTACTAAGCTTATTAATGGCATTCTTGCGCAAATTTGTTGTAGGGGATGATTGCGTATCTTGTGTATGGTCATAGAGTGCTATTTTATTCCACTTGTGTATGCACATTGCAGTACAAAAATATTTTTTCTCTGTCTCAGTATTTCAAGACAGCAGGTGATTTCGGTAATTGGCAATTGCTGTTGTGGTGACCCTGCCATTTTACTTACTAGGGTAATTTAGTAGTTTTTTGTATATGTAAAGTACGTCTTTTTCAGTGGCAAATTTAATAAATTTCAAAGTAATTTTGTTTTAGATATACTTTTTGAAGCAAATATTTTTTTCTTTTTGGGTCTAGAGTGTATAAACATGGCGCTAGGGAAATTAATTTAAAGCCATGACAAAAGAGAAGAGCTTGATCAATCGGACCTGAGTAACTGCCTGCCTTACTTTCGAGTGTTCATTGAAGTAACAGAATTGAAATAACAATTATATACAAAAATAACACGTCAATGGAAATTTTCAAACAGTCTGGAAATTTAACGGCATGTCCCTTTTTTAATGGACTAAATCCAAGTAGAAGTTTATAAGTACAATCTAGCTATAGTCTTACAAAAATACTTACGTTCGTTGAATGTCTTTGGATCAATAGATCTCTTGCCAAATTTGAAATTCTGCTTTAGGCATGATTGTCCATTGCAGACACCCTGAACTCTTGTTACTAAACTATAGCCACAGTCCCTCTTCTTTTGATCACCGCAAACCGTTTTATATATGCTCTTGAAGGCATTGCTTGCCTTGTCCCATATTTTACCAATGTTTGGTTTGGGCACTCGGATTCGAATCCGCGGCAAACGTATCCGCGGCAAACGTATCCTCGGCAAACGTATACGCGGCGTGGGAATTCGTGGCACACGTATGCGCGGCAAACGTATACGTGGCACACGTATACGTGGTCCCCACGCTTCACTTTCAATGGTGAATACTCCAAGCAGTAGAACCAAGCAAAGAATTTTCATCATTTTCGATCAATCTAAGAAAAGATGTTCGTTTAAGCAATCGTACGTAAAGAGGGCCTGGTTACGCAGGGGAGCATGCGATAGCAATATGATTCGTAAAAGTCAACGCGCGAGAACCGATCAGCTTTCAAAATGACTAAATAAAAGTAGAGTAAAATCAGAAAAGATGCCCGGAATGTATACATAAAATGAATTGTTTCAGGTTTTCTATAATGATAATAAATATTATAAAGCTGACAAACTATAACTAAAATGCACAGTGTTAATATATTCTTACAAACTTTCCGAGTCTTCAAGATGCAAGGTGTCTTCAGTAGTCCTCAATTATTCGACGCTAAGCTTGTTCAAGTACACTGTGCCTAAACTCAGTTTACCATATTCTGTTCTAAAGTCTGTTTATATAACTTGCCAGCAGGCCTGCTTTATTTCGTTCGTGGCCTACCATGACATGCATGTTCCCCGTTTTTGACACCACTTTGTTCGTCCTTTTCACTTTTCTGACGTGTCTGGTAAGATGCGTGTTCCTGTGTTTTTGTTCTTTTCTTCTCTCTTTCGACTTCCGAAAGTAAATAAGTCATGAGTACAGTTGAAGAGGATTTGTTTGTGTTTAGCATTAGTGGACAATTCAGCCTCAATTAGTTGATGCATGCATATACTCTCTCATACTTCAATTTGCATCCCGGTATTCCTTCTATTTAATCCCCAGCCCCATTTTACCCAAACCCATCTAATCACCCTTCATTGCAGTGTATATTTCACCCCCATCTTATTACAATTGAATCACTCTCAATATAAACTCAAAGCGAAATATGAACAGGACTGTTCTGTTCAATGATGTGACCCTGTTGTACCGTCCACTGGATGTGGCTAGGTAGTGATAAATTGTATGGAAAATATCTACAAATGTTTCTGTGCCCATAATCCTGCAAATGCATATTTATTTAACTTGGAGTCTCTATTTAGCCCTGCCCCTCTTCTAATAAGTCCCTTTTCCCTAACCACTGTGGAAATTCACGTGGTGGCTAATGAGATGAAACACGGTATACATATATACAACCTCTACTAAAGGCTTGTTTAAGGTCCAGACACACCGGACGCGATTCGACAACACGACACGACTTTTTAGTTTTTGAAAATTAATAAAACAGCCAATGAGAGTAAATTTTAAAAGATATGTAGACCAAATGACTCAAAATGTTATGACGCTTCTAAATATTTGGAAAATTTAAACTAGGATCGAAGTTATCGGTCAGTGAAAATCGAAAATTCGCGTCGCGTTGCCGAATCGCGTCCGGTGTGTCTGGACCTTTACCCTTAAAATTTCTGCAGCGATTTTAAGGTGCGATTGTCTTGTTCGGATGGATGTGAACGAGTGGATAAGTTATGATTGTTCAGTTGAGGGTACATCAGTGAGACATAAACTCAGAATATCTATAACTTATTTACTCATTCATCTCTATCAGAAGAAGAAAATCGCACTAGAAATCACAGCACAAATGTAAACATGCCTTAATTTAACAAACCAGCTGTTAACCCTCTCCAGACCAGTAATATTAAATTCAAGTCCGGACAATAGCTCTGGACAAGAAGAAACCAACTTCCGACGTGAATCCACTTAAAAAAATCCACCTAAACTTTAATGTTTTACGGTGCGTCTACAGTAAGTGGGGCCACTTAGAGAACACTAACCAATCGCATTGCAGAACAAAAAGTAAAATCTAATGAAACTAAAGCTCGTCCAATCAAAAGAAAGATTCAGAAGCCATTAACTGCAGTGTTTACTTTTACAAGTCTATTTTTACCGTTTGACATTCGTTTATTTGTTCAAATTGTTTTTAGCATAATGCTGATTGGCTAATGCGCCGTTTGTTGATTTTTTTCAATTTTTGTTGTGCAATGTGATTGGTACGATTAGTGTTCTCTAAGTGGCCCACTTACTGTAGACACACTGTAATATGGCGTTCTCTAATTGGCCCACTTACTGTAGACACATATGTAATATGAAGTGTTTGTCAATCAAAACATGCAAATCTCAATGATTTTATTGCTGGGGAAGATCGTTATGACGGATATGATTCACTACTAAAAATGAATGAAAAGTGAAATTTTTAATGAATTTTGTGGACCTTGACAATACATGCACCAACCACTCGCTCTTTCTTAACAGAGGACCGGAAGTACGAGTTCGAAAGCTAATTGAATACAGCTGAAGAGGATATTTGAATTTAGTGTTGATGGACAATTTAATTTTAATTTTTGATGTGAACTTTCAACGGATTAAAATTTGACGCTACCTGCGTACCCATATTTGGAGGTTGATTCCAAGTGTCCTGGACTTCAATACGACAAACGTTCGACTTTGATTCGCAAAATTGAAATAATATTTTCCTGTTATTTTCCTATAATAATATTTTCCATTTTTCTCTCTCTCTCTCTCTCTCTCTCTCTCTCTCTCTCTCTCTCTCTCTCTCTCTCTCTCTCTCTCTCTCTCTCTCTCTCTCTCTCTCTCTCTCTCTCTCTCTCTCTCTCTCTCTCTCTCTCTCTCTCTCTCTCTCTCTCTCTCTCTCTCTCTCTCTCTCTCTCTCTCTCTCTCTCTCTGCCGGCAAAAGTTTCGATGCAACTTGTTTCTGATGTATTGCAGATCGATATGATATCCAGTAAGCTTTTCTTAGGACGGCTAATATCCTCCGTTTTGGGGTTACTATATCTGTCCTTGAATGTACATCCTAGACAATAGATGATTCCACCTATAGACTTAATTTTGATTCAGGCAAGAAAAGCGAAATTATCGCAAAAGCTAGAAAGACCATCTTAATTTAAAAATTGCAAAGCTTGGCCGCGAAATGTTGCATATAAAATGCGGAAAATACATATAGCCCTGCGAAATTTGCAATGTTTGTACCACATTTGAGCCGAAAGTGGTGCAAATTTCCCGTGAGTAATACCAATTTGTATTAATTTTGTATAAATTTATACAAAATTTGCCAATTTTGTTGAGCTATATTTTCCGCATTTTACAACATTTCTCAACCAAACTTTGCTATTTTACTCATTTAACATGCTGGTTCTAGCTGTGGTGATGGATTTTGTTCTTCTTGCCGAGATTGTTCTTCTTGCCGAGATTCCGATCTTGAGTCTACAGCTGGAATTAATCATCTATTCAACAACGTGAAAAGCGATTTTTAAAAGTTGTGACTGTAAAGTAACCATTATACAAGCAACTACAAAACTAAAATAACAGCACTTCCTGAGCGCGATGTAATTTGTTTACGTTATTGAGAGTCAGAATTTGAACTGAGCCAATCAGAGTCCACAGAGTTTCACTATGACCAATTAGATTCTACTACCCAGTTTCGGGCAGCGCCGCTAGTGTTTGTAAGTAATGCCACGAATTTTTATAGACAGTATTAGGCCTAGAGCATATATAATTCTATATATACACAGGCTGCATGTATATCCACAACAAGCGGGGCATTTATATCCGTTGTTTTGCATGTAATGCATTGACTCAAGTTGAATATAATTGGCATGGATATTCATTTATATTTATTTCCAGAACTCAGTTATTTTTTTGTTTCTCGGGATAAGGTGATGATTGGGCATGTACTCCCATTCAGAATGTATACAGTTTTATCTTTTCATTTATCTTTTATATTTATTTTCTGTATTTCGTGCATTCTAATTTCGCAACAATATTTATTATCATATAATATCTATGGTATTTCTATAGTATCGCAACAGCTTAAATTAGAGAATATTGCAGTATAAAGATGTAGTGTATTGACTCAGGTTGAATTTGGCATGAGAAGTAAACTGAATAATGTGTGATTGTCTAATGACACAATGGCCCCCGCATTATTACTTAAAATCACATCATTCGGTGGGCGACACAGCTCTGCACTATTTGTTTAAAATGTATTTTAGCTCCTTTTATATAAGTCTAATCCAGGGTTAGGAAATCACTATAGAAACCTCAGTGAAGCGTGCTTTTGAGTAGCACTGTAGTTATAACTAACTACAGTATATCTGTGCAGTTTCTCATCAAGAATGGTTCTAATTTAGAAAATTTAAACTTTTCCGTGTACATTTTGCATGTGGGAAACGTGCTCGCTTGTGCTCTGCTTTATAGCTAAAAAGGTCGACGAGTACTGTATTTTCTCATTTCGTAATTTCGGCATAGTACGTTGAATGCAATTGCGTATTAGCTGGAATTGTATCCAATAAAAATACATGTTTCAAAAGCCAGACACTTCCCTGCCACGATCGGATAAACATTTATCCCTGCGTTTATGATCATTTTTCTTCTATACCAACTTCCTGAAGGGAATACACTTAAGAAATCCACTTGGGTGACAATTGTCTTCCAAATTTTTTCTGAAGTGGTTGTCAGTCAACACATGTAAATCTCAGCGATTTTATTTGCCAAGGGAAGATCATTATGACTGATATGAATTACAACTAAGAATGAATTAAATGTGCAATTGTCAATGAATTTTGTGGTCCTTTAAGGTCGAGCAACTGGGCAAGGCCTGCGCGAGTGGAGGGTAGGCGGTGGGGCAAAACACTCCGGGTCCGGAATGCTCAGAGGGGTCCGTAAATCTCGGTAAAATGTTTATCATCGCTTTATGTTTGTCCGATCCTAAATAAAATATGCCTACTTGCACACTATCCACTATGGTGGCCTATCGCTGCCATAAGGAAATTCATAAAATTTTTATTTATTTTTTTATTTTTATTTATTTTTTTTAAATTTTTATTTATTTTTATTTTTTTATTTTAAAAAGAATATTATTTGAAAACAAATCAATGTAAAAACGAACTGAAACGATATTAAAAACGGCATGTACTAAAAGGCGAAACGTCGAAACGAAAGGACCGAAACGAAACGGCCGAAACCATCGAAACGACCCTAACGACCGAAACGAAACAACCGAAACGACCGAAACGAAACGGCCGAAAAGAAACGACGGAAACGAAACGGCCGAAAATATAAATTACAGGAA